CCTGATTGGCTGATTGATTCCATCCAACCAGAGACACCTGGTGGGGAGGAGTTCCCTATGCGGATCCTCTGGGGTCGTACCGCCCATCCAACACCAGGCCTCTTGGTTTGGCTGCGCTTAGTCAAGTCACTGCTCACCGGCTGGGCTTTCAGTGTCTGTAGATATTCACATTAAATGTTATCTTCTACTTAGTAGTAATAGTAACATCATTGATCGGGTTTATAAAAAACAAGTCTGTTGACCAGCTGTTGATAGAAATGGCCAGTTCTCAACACTGAAGTAGTATGTTGTATTTAAACTGGAAAACAAAGTGGTGCAGTTTTTCTGACTCAAGTCTCCGTTGAAACTCATCGGATATGTGGAAACTGTCCCACTGTTGAAAATCATATTTTTGGGATTAGGGCCAAATTGACGGTAGTTTTCAATCCACACTCCAAAGGTTGTTCTTGTACTGTTGACTTTCTCTTCTGATTTAATGCTAAAACAAGATCCAGTCACTGCTTCCATCTGCAGTAATGAATAGTGAAGTAAATCCTTAAAACAAGGAGCAAAATAACCTGTGAAACAAACTAATGATTGACATTATATACAGTGCATCCGGAAAGTATTCAGAGCCCTTCACTTTTTCCACATTTTGTTATGTTACAACCTTATTCCAAAATGGATTACATTCTTTATTTTCCTCAACATTCTACACATAACAACCCATAATGACAAAGTGAAAACAGTTGATTGCAAATGTTTGCAAATCTGTTAAAAATAAAGAACGAAAACATAACATGTACATAAGTATTCACAGCCTTTGCCATGACACTCAAAATTTAGCTCAGGTGCATCCTGTTTCCACTGATCATCCTTGAGATGTTTCTACAACTTGATTGGAGTCCACCTGTGCTGAAATTCAGTTTATTGCACAGGATTGAGAAAGGCACACCTGTCTATATAATCAGGAAACATTTATTGCCGAAATATGTCAAACATACAAGGAATTTGTCTTGGCGGTTGGTGCGTGACAGACAGTGTAACAAAAGACAACAAGACAGCAGTGCACAAGTAATAAAGTAAAATGAAATGCTAATGCAATGGGTTAGTAAAAAAAATGTCGAACTCTGACCTATTCTAGTTCAAAGGTGAGTGCGGGAGCAGCAATGATGCGGAGCTGAACACACATTCTTACCCCAAAAACATGGCAGAAAAAAGTAAGAGAACTTTTCATTCATCATCATTTTCACAGTGAATGGGAGGGAGAATTATTTTTTACAAGTGTGAAAGAAAACTGCGTTTGTCAGAAGTTTTCTTCCGAGCAGCTGGACCGGGATCTGGCGCGTTGCAGCTGGTTTAGCGTACAGTGCGACGAGTCCGTGGACAACAGCAGTACAGCGCAGCTGCCAGTCTTTATCCGGATGGTGTTTGAAGATTTCTCCACAAAAGAAGAACTCCTGGCACTCCTGCCCTTAAAGACAACTACGAGGGGAGTTGACGTTTACAACGCGGTGAAGGAGTTTTTCGTACAGAAAAAGGTACCACTGGAAAAGCTCGTAGCGGTGACTACAGACGGAGCTCCTGCTATGATCGGCCGACATGCAGGTTTAATTACAAATTTGCCTCAGAGGGCTTTACAGTCTGTACACAAACAACATCCTCTGTCCCGAAACCCACCATGGGCACAGGAAAAACTCCCCCAAAAATGAAAAAACCCTTCCAAGAGGGAAAAAAGGGAAGAAACCTTAGGGAGAACGTCAGAGGGATCCCACTCCCGGGATGGACAGACTACAATGGATGCCATGTGTACAGAATGAACAATATATAATGCATGCAATTCCTATGACAGAAATGATTCAAATAATTGTGAGTAGTAAGCCAGGCGCACAGCAGGACCACTGCAGGGGCAACCACCATCAGATAGAACCACCATCTACAGAAGCCTGTGGGGAGGGAGAGCACAAAGACTTTAGGAGAGGGTAATGTCGGTTTATGAGTACAGTAATATGATTAACCACGGCAGGTGTCAGGACCAGGGTCCAGAAGAAACTACGGGTCAAAGGGACAAAGGGTCAACTCATTTCTGTGAGTCTCCGTGGTGCACTGCTAAGAGCAGCCACCAGGTTGATGTTTTGATGTTTTGATCCACCGGGTTCGAATCCAGGTTGTGCCGATCTTTCTTTTAATATATTTTTTTATGTAAATGTTTTCATACGTGGCTGTGATGTGGTGCTCACTTATACAATCGTAAACGCTGCAATGGGTTTGTGATGCGTTTTGAAGATTATCAGCAATATGTTTGTGAATGTGTGACGAATCAGGGAACTGAGGCGGACACATCTGCAGCTGTGGAGTAAACACAAACACGCACGCGTAGGGAAACCAGTAGGTGGAAAAACCAGTAGGGGTGTAACACCGGCGACGGTAGGCAGCGTTTCCTCGGCTGGACGAGACGCTCCGTTACAGGCTTCTCCAAACACGGCTAACATGTGGATGCGAACTGTCGGATTCCAGCTGTGTAAGTTATTAAGTGCTAGAACACTTTAGTTCACTCTAACAGGGACCACTACTGAACATACACTGTTTATACTGTTTCCGAGTAGAAGAATAATCTTTCTTCTGGTACCAGAAGAAAAACAGATTTATATACTTTATGTTAACTTGCTGTTGCTCCAAGAGCGCCTGTTATATTGTTCTGATTACTTTAAAATAAAAGCGTCCAATACACTAGGTTTTAGTTCAGTATTATTTCTTCATCTTTGCCCACATTAGTAAAGAGTGAACTGAACAGCTGTAGAGGACACAGCGCCATCTAGTGGTGTGTTGTAGAAATGCACACTATAGAAATGGATCAGAATCATGGACCATGATATTCAAATGTAGATTATTAGAAAAATGTTATTTTAAAATAATTACTCTGAGTTAATGGCGGAATAAACGTGTTCCTGATATTAGAATACATTTCCTGCTTCTGTTACCCGGTGGCTCAGTGTCCCGTCATTGACCCCCAGTGGGAGAGTGAGGAGGAGGTTCCCATTGACGCCATCATCTTCGGTGGCAGGAGGCCGGAAGGTCGGTGCTGCTCTCAGAGCTTTTCTCCCCATAATCGCACACTTTGTTTAAAGGCCATTTTCATGTATGTTTGATTCAAGGGAGTAACCACGCATCCTTTGGGAGGGGTTGTGTCCCCCCCAATATTGAGAAAATACCAATCTGTCCTTCCCAATATACAGCAGATAGTTTGTAAAACATATGTTCTCTTCCTTTTATGAACCGTTTGTTAAGCGAAACGCACCGGGACTCTCTGAGTGCTCTGTCGGCCGTAGTGTCCGCGCCATCCCCCCAATGTCTAAACCATGGTTACACCCTTGTTTTGAGCATTCGAAAGCATTTAGTAAGTTAGTCCGGTGTCGTGTGACAGAGGGTGAGCTAAAATATCTTACTTTAATCTATCTCTTATACAGCAACTTTTAGTATATCTGCCTACTTTTAATTCCATCTATTTCATTCATTTTAATTCTTTGCATTTTTTTATTATCTGCTGTGGAATTGTGGTGTTATTGCAGATGTTTTTTACTTTGCCTGCCTTGTTTCAGTGTCTAATGGAGCGTCTTATAACTGTCTGCAGGTGTGCAGCACCTCCCCTTTAAAACGCCTGCTGTGGCAGAAGGACGAGAGGCATTCAGCAGCTGGAGCAGCACCGAGTAGACGCAGACGGGTGGATCTTATCAAAGGATTGTGAGCAGTGTTTTAAGAGTGTTACAAATCTGTCCTGCATTTGTCATGGTTTGGGTTTGTTTCCTGTCTTATTTTGTAGTTTCCTGCCTCATTCCCTGTAATTGTCTGATTGTTTCCAACGGTGTCCAATCACCTGCACCTTCGCAGTGTATTTAAGTCGTGTGTGTTTTGTCGCGTCATTGTTGAATGTACGGAAGTCCAAGTCCCTGGTTCCTTTCTCTGTTTTTGCCCCTTGGCCTTTTTGCCTTTGAACATTTTAACTATTAAAGTTTTTCGAAAACTCTGCGTTTGAGTGCTGCCTCCCCGCACCTCCCGTGACAGCATTTGCCTTTTAAATTAGTAAGCGCCTTGTCCTTGTGGCGGTGAGACCTTCTGTACCTCTCGCCCGTGGTGCCGTGGTTTAGGGTCCTTTTATAACTTGTCTTTATAAGTAGAGGAGCACCTCTTTTATTGGATTTTACGGCTGGGTGAGATCTTATTTTTAGATTAAGGCATTTTTGACAGTTTTATATTGTGGTTGACTGTTTTTTTGAGTTTAATAAATATTTCACTTTAAATTAATTTGGTTTTGTCTGAAACTGGCACGTGTTGGGTTTTTCTCTCCAGAACACCTTGGCCAGCTGGAGCTTTTCACTACTTGTAGGAGTGGTCAGTAAATCAACGCGCATCATTTGTAGTGTCACTTTAATATTATTTTATTGAGCGGTCAGCAACGGAAACGTAAATAATACTTACAAACCAGTTGAAAATAGTTTCACCTTCCACTCTCAAAACTAAAACACACCGGGCTGAACTCAGGTGAGGTTTAAGTAGTTAACACCCTCCCCCTGACATCATCGCAAGCATTTCAGCCTTTGCATCAACAAAAAGGCGGTTTCATTATGCTCATATACAAGTCGGTGGAATGGCTTTTACACTGCTCCTCCAGCTCAAAGCATCAGACGGCTCCAGGTTAAAAATCAAAAAGGATTTGAGAACAAACTCCGGTTTAGTTTTTCAGATCTCGTGGGATGTGTTTATTATTTTACAGCCCGATGTGTTTGGTGCATGTCCAAACGTAACTGCTTTTGGTTGGTAGGATTCCATATACAGAAATTATTATACTATATAATATGACAAACTATCATTTTCCCACTAGTCATTGGATTAGATTTTAGATTAGATTCAACTTTATTGTCATTGCACAGAGTACAAGTACTGAGAAAACGAAATGCAGTTTAGCATCCAACCAGAAGTGCAAAATAGCAAAAAGTGCAGAGTATGTGCATATGTATTGTTGTGTTTTCTGTGGAGTTTTTAATTCATGACGTTTTGTTATTTCGGATTTACATGTGTGATGAAATGTTTACCTGCCAGAGCTATACATATAAATGCCAGTATTATATGGAGAAACTTTGAGGTAGCAGGGCAATAGTGTAGTGTCCCTTTAAGAGAGGAGTGTGCTGTGAGGTCACGTGACCAGTGTTTACTGAGTGAAAAGGAAGCGCGATTCACTTAGTTGGTAACGACTTCCAACCCGGTGTGCAGCCACTTGGTAAGCGCTCTTGATTTTCAATGTTGTCTTGTCTCCTTTATAATGTACGCTTCATGTTGTCTGATGTCACCTTAATGTGTTGCTGCTGTGTTTACTTTCTTTGGGTTTCATACTTTAAACATATAAGCCAGACTGGTATGTGACGAAGGTACTTCCTGGTTTGCCATGGGGCATTTTGGGAGTTGTAGTTTCCTGCTAAGGAAAGACTGCATGCATTGTGAATGTGGTGCATAATGTTTGAATGTGTACGTGCAAATAACGAAACTGATGATGGTGGATTATAGTATATTAATAATGTTTATTTGTATTTTTGAATAATGTTATTAAGATAAAGAACTGGGGAGCTGTGTTGGTTGTGGTGTGCACATGGAAATTTAAGTATTGCATTTCTTATTATTCCAGGTTTTTTACCTGGTTCCCCCTTTTAAGAAATAAACAAACAAATGAGGAATCTTGAGTAAAGTCCTGTGTGTGTGCCGGGTTGCCCTTTCCGTGGGGAGAAAACGGAACATGTATAGTGTAATAAGTGAATAAATAGATATGTACAGTAAGAAATGGATATGCAATATGAACAGTAAGAGGTATTGTAGGTATAAGTACGATTAATACAGTAATAAAAAAAACATTCTGGTGCAAATGTTCAGTGGCTGGAGGAGGGTGTGGCAGTCAAGCCAGGGTGGAGGAGGGAAGTACAGTCACTGAGGGAGATGTGTGTGGGGGTGGGGGGCAGAGTTCAGTAGAATGACAGCCGCAGGGATGAAGCTGTTCCTAAACCTGCTGGTCTGGGAACGGAGCACCCTGTAGCGCCTCCCAGAGGGGAGGAGGGCAAACAGTGTGTTGCTGGGGTGAGAGCTGTCCTTTTCGATGCTGCGTGCCCTCCGCAGACATCTCTTGCTCTGGACAGCCTCAATGGTGGGGAGTGAGGAACCGGTGATGCGTTGTCGGCAGTCATGTTATAATTTCAAACATTATGCTGCTTTTCTGCTTGAATTCCTGACACACACACAACCTCACTGTAGAACTCTTTGGTTACACCTTGTTACAGTTTGTGTCGCAGAAGTAGAGCAACACCTGAGCAGCCTGCATTAAAAAATTGAAAATTGTGCGTTATTTGCATGTAATTGTTATTGTTAACTCCCCCTGTTCTATAAGGTCTGAAGCCACGGCGGCTGCCGAGCATCAGGGTACTGAAGCGCATATGTGACCTTCATGTGGTCTGGGCAGCGATGTGGATGTGGGGGCCTGTTGCAGGTACCCAGGTGTTTCAGGTAGAAGGAGACGGAGGAGTTGAGCAAGTTCTCCCAGCAAGTTGGAGCCGATCTACCTGCTCAGGTGGAGGCGGAGCTTAAGGCGCTGGAGGAGCGAGTGCACAAGTAGAAGCGCACAGACAGGAAGTTCAACCGGAAACATGGCCGTGGTCGCTGAGGACTCAGAATGCAGATAGTTAAGGTGCCTTCAGGAGTCACTGGCTGGGTTTACATACTGTGATGTCTTGAGAAGTCGGGATCATGAGGCGTGGGTGAAAAAAATAAAGACGACAATGCTTCGAAAACTCAAAGTCTTGTATTCATCTTACGTTATCAAAAAGGTGAACTCAATTCCGACAAAAAAACGTCATTACAAGAAATCAACATGAATCTCTTTATTTTAATCCTTGTTCCTCCTCTGTAACGTGACGTCACCTCCTTCTCTTCCCACGACTCCTTTTCTGCTCTTTCAGCGTCATCATTTGCAGCTGGGCAGCAGCTTTGGACCCGGCTGCCCTGCTGACTCTGGGAATTGATGCCCTGGTGGGTTGTAGTCCCTGCTCCAACCACTGGGCGGGGATGTACCTCCCATTGATGACCAACCCTCTCATGACATCACGATACACAGAACCCTAATCACACTTTATTGGTTTTATTCATGTAAACATGAATCCTTATACAAGTCCTGTCCAGTCCTTAAATCCTGAGGACCAGGTTGAGATTTGTCTTAGAAACATCACGCTCCTATTTGGTTTTCACAACATAGTTCGTTAACTGAAATGCAGGTTTTAGAGAGTTCTAGTACTCGCTGCTCAGTCAAAGATGATCAGATATATGGAAAAGCTCCACCTCAAAAAACTAAAACAATAACCAGGCCAGTAATGAATAACTTGTTTTTCAAAATAATCACAACCAGTGAGTCTCATCTTCCTCTTTTATGAAGGGAAATTTGGTAGGTACATTGGTACATTTCAGAGATAAAAAGCTTATAGTCTACCATGCAATGACTTGGGACGTGACTTACTTACTCACTAATAAAACTGGAGACAGATGCCGGTGGGAGGACGGAGGTTTGTCCCAAAATGAAGGTTTCTTTGACACGAATCACATAAAGAAGTTAATGTCACTGCCTCCAATCACTAAAATACAATCAAAACGACCTTGTTGTGCCTTTGAGACGTTTAATAACTGTTGCGAATGAATAAGTGTGTGAATGCATGTAACTGTATCTGTTCAGGAGGAGGTGCTGTTGTGTCTCATATGACATGAAGTCACATGTGACTGATGACATCACTACCTTTATAAGGGCGATGTTCACCCTCTCTCTCTCTCTCTACCGACTCCCTCTGAGAGCAGCAGTCGTTCACTGTCAATAAACAATAAACCACGTGATTTATGACTGAAGAGACAAACGTCAGAATCATTATTTCTCTGTGCAGGTGACAAAAGTTCTACCTGTCAACAAACTCAACAACTGGGCTTCTAATGTTTTCAGGATGAAACCCAGAGATTTTATGTAGCCTGATTAAAATGATGAGACAGGACACCAAGATGAATTCATTTTTAATGTGGGTCCTTTATTTGCCCCGACTGTCCTCCTGGAGCAATTTGTCAAATTTAGAAGACACTTAGGACAGAGTACAAAAAACAAAACTGATTTTTACTAAACTTTAACTTGTGTATGACATGACAACATGGAATAGAGCCACATATAAAACAACAGTAGTGACTTCCTCCTGTTAAGCAGAGACAAAGAACATTCACATCTGTCTCATGCTGTTCAACACTTACATCACCGTTATTCTTCCAAAAGTTGAGAAAATAATGAACTCACTCGAGCGCCTGTGTGCACGGATCCATAAATGTGTGATGTTGACTCACCGCAGCTTCTGTCTCCCTCTAAACAACGAATCGATATAAAAGAAGCAGAAGCGACCGCGCATGCGTGAGGACCGTCCTGTAATTCTCACAGTAGCAAAGTCATCCGGCGGCAGGCCGCGAGTTTGACTCCTATGGTACTTAAAGAACACCTAATTGAGGCCGAGTTGAGGGAGTATAAAGACCAACACCTGGCTGGAAGGAAGGAAGGAAGGAAGGGTGGAAGGAGAGAGCAGACTGGGAACATGTTCTACGTGGAGGAACCCGGTCAAGGAAAAGCCTAAGAAGTTGATTTTTTTGTTTAAGGAACTGTCTTTCTCCTTGGGGACACTTTTTGAGAATAAAACATTATTAGTAAACCATCTAATTTTGCCTGTTTGCTGGCCCTGCTCCCCCCCAGCTACCTCTTGTGACAACGTGGTTACATGGATTTGAATAACTGGCTTAGTCAGACTGAAATCGAATGATCTGTTTCATGTAAACACCTTTCTCCGGGATTTGTACCGATCTGATAAACACAAACCTTACGGTGTCAAAAGTATGAAGAAATTAACTACCTGAGCTACAGGATGTGGATGTTTGAAGTTCCTCTTTAATTAACTGAGCAGTGAAGATTACATTTTCTCACTATTATTTTTCTCCATAAACTGACAGATGAAGCTTGTTATTTGTGTAAAAAGCATCTTAATAATAAAACCCAAATGTGACGACAAGAAACGGCTCATTTTCTCTTCACTTGAGCGTAGAGATCCTCTGGGACGTCAGCAGTCCGTGTGACGTTGTCTGCTGCCTTGGACACTTTGACCTGCGCATACAGCGTGTCCTCCTGCTGTCCACCGTCCTGCTCCGAGACTGAGGACGGTCCAGATCTGAGCCTCGAGAAGTTAATCTCTCCATAGTGGACGCCTTCTTCTTCTGTTGTCACTGTCTCTCCAACAGGCTGATTCTACATAAAAGAATAAATGAAGCAAACAGGAAGTGATTGTGGAAGCAGCTTGATTCCAAATAATAACAAAACCACACCGAGTTGTTTGGTGTGTTCTCACCTGACTCTGATGTGCAGTTGGATGTGGAGACTTCAAACGCCTGCAAGACAAAATGTTGGGTCTAATACACAGAATACCAAAACAATACCACATTTCATTGGAGACACATTCTTTACTGATGCTACTGACCAAACAAAGACAACCAGGCCGATGAGCACGATGATCCCAATGATTCCTCCAAGAACTGCACCCAATAGAAGATGATCAACTCCACCTCAAGACAAGATGAAAAAAACAACAGAAGTGACTAATTGAAGACACTATGGGAATGTAACAATATTGATTGCTGAAGTACCTTTATTAGTTACCTTCTATAGTCAGATGGATCTCTGATGATGTTTGATTACCAAGCTGATTGGTGACCACACAGTAATAAACTCCTTCATCAGTGACATTGAAGCTGTAAAAGTCTCCTTCAGATACTTTGATTGGTGCATCTCTGCTGGTCTTGAACCAGGTGAAGCGGCTCACAGGAGGTTTGGCTCTGCTGGAGCAGGTCAGGTTCACCCGGCTACCTGCTGACACCCGACCTGATGGACTGATGGACACTGAGGTGTTCTTGGGAGCATCTGAGGAAAATTAAATTAAAACAGACATTAAATCTTTATGCACATGTGAACACATGAATCATCGTATGCTGACAGGATAAAAGAACAAACACTCACATGAAACACTGAGAGTCTTTCTCTCCTCTGACGTCTTTACATCTTTTCCTTCATTCACAGGATATCTGGCAGAACAGGTGATGATGAATCCATCATGTTCATGTGACAGAGTGATGCTCTTCTGGATTCTAGTTGTGAAGGTTCCATCTGTGTTTTCCTCCATCATGAGGTGAGAGTCTGGTTGGAGGTTCCAGGTGAGTTGAGGAGGAGAGTGTGGACAGGGAGTGGAAGCTGAGCAGCTTATAGAGACAGACTCCTTCTCCTTCACATCACCTGAGATCTCAATCCTGGGCTTTGGAGGAGAATCTGTGGTTTCAAATAAAATGCAGATTGTACACTGAAAAAAGAGCAACAATACTTGAGTCTACAGTCTGTGATGAAAGTACTCTTCTACATTTCAGAGCAAAATGTTTGGTATTTTCAATTAAAAGAATAAGTTGTGGGAATCATAAAGCTCGTCAGTATTTTGGTCATCTGTCAGCGGTCAGAATAAATATTCTGTAATATAATTATTTACGGAGACGGACTAATTCTATTTTTAAACATGTAAAATCTTGTATTTGTAATAAATCATTGATATGATTTCTTATACATGATGTCTTTTCACTTGCTTAGCTTGACTTCAAAGGAATGGAAACAAAATGCGGCATCCCTAATAAAGTATAAATGTAATACACTTGTTTACCTTCTACAGTCAGATGGATCTCTGATGATGTTTGATCACCAAGCTGATTGGTGGCTACACAGTAATAAACTCCTCCATCAGTGACATTGAAGCTGTAAAAGTCTCCATCAGATACTTTGATTGGTGCATCTCTGCTGGTCTTGAACCAGGTGAAGCGGCTCACAGGAGGTTTGGCTCTGCTGGAGCAGGTCAGGTTCACCCGGCTACCTGCTGACACCCAACATGATGGACTGATGGACACCGAGGTGTTCTTGGGAGCATCTGAGGAACATGTGACATTAAAACTTTATGCAGCTGACATCGTGTGAACACATGAATCATCGTATGCTGACAGGATCAAAGAACAAACACTCACATGAAACACTGAGAGTCTTTCTCTCCTCTGACGTCTTTACATCTTTTTCTTCATTCACAGGATATCTGGCAGAACAGGTGATGATGAATCCATCATGTTCATGTGACAGAGTGATGCTCTTCTGGATTCTAGTTGTGAAGGTTCCATCTGTGTTTTCCTCCATCGTGTGGTGAGAGTCTGGTTGGAGGTTCCAGGTGAGTTGAGGAGGAGAGTGTGGACAGGGAGTGGAAGCTGAGCAGCTTATAGAGACAGACTCCTTCTCCTTCACATCACCTGAGATCTCAATCCTGGGCTTTGGAGGAGAATCTGTGGTTTCAAATCAAATACAGATTGTACACTGAAAAAAGAGCAACAGGACTTGAGTCTACAGTCTGTGATGAAAGTACTCTTCTACATTTCAGAGCAATATTTTAACCTTTACTTACTTACTTATTATCAGATGTTGGATTATGAATCATTATTTCTTTTGTTAAATAATTTTTGAATGTTTGAGGCTTGTAGTCCTTTTTCTGATGTTTCTGAATGTCAGCAGATTCATCAACATTTCTCCTCTGAACTTCTCACATGGATTCAGTTAATAATTACACTACTTTATAATGAAGCAAAGATTAGAGAAAAGTTCCAAATATGAACTCATGTGTGCAGCAGTATTTTTCCCACCAATCACCTCATGAACCTTCAGATTTAAACTGTGACCTTCGATATGGGAAAATAAAGTTTCACTAATTATTGAATATAGGTCGGAATAATTGAACTTTTTTTTTCAAGCATTAAATGTAAAGGTGGGTGGATGTACGAGCTGCATTCTCAACTGGTTATTAGTATAAGTGAACAAAAAAATCTAATTTAATCCAGAAAGTTGAAACATTTCATTCCCTGGTCAGTTTCTGTATGTATTTACATTTACAATGAAAGTTATATTACTTGTTTTATTCTAAATAATAAAATCATAGAATATTTCATGAAAAACAAAAGTCTCTTACCTTTAACTGTTATTTGAAGAGGATCACAAGCAGCTGTTGCTCGAAATGCTTCGTTCTCAACCCTGAAGTAGTATGTGTCTGTGTATGTTGTTTTTAAACTGGAAAATAAAGTGGTGCAGTTTTTCTGACTCAAGTCTCCAGTAA